ATTTCAATGTAGGAAGTGTTACGAACAGCTGATCGGATCGGCAAAGCGTGTTTCTGGAATATCATGTTTTTGTTGCAGCAAGTCCTTTTTATGCAGTTTTTGCAAAGCTATGTGGAAAGAAACTGTGACCTAGAACAAGCTGAGGGCATAAGATGTAAGTACAACTCCTCCGGTTTCCTATGCAAAAAAAAATTATTGCGCTAGCTTACGTGGTTCCAGTTCTACCGGGATTTAAAAATAGTTACGCAAAACAGCGTGCCCGCTCCGACCGGCTTTAAAGGGTTAAAATACAAAATATGAGTAACTGTATTCCTTTACAGTTACCGTTTACAAAGGTGGTAATCAGAATACAGTTACTTTGTTGAAATAAATGGATTACACTGAGGTCTTTTCCTGTTTCACATATTAGGCTGTACCCTCTCTATTTTTGGTAATTCCACACCAGTGGAAACCAAAACAAAGCAAGCATTTAGAGGCTCTAATGCCTGTGTCTCAATCTCGTGGCCCATGTCATCTCTACTTGCGGCCCGCATAATGACGTGAAGAAATATATATATATATGTATATATATATTTTTTTCATTATTACTCAGCGCGGGGGCGATTCAAACTCCTCGACCAGTACAGAAACAGAAGCTAACAGCATGGACGCGCTAGCAAATGCAGTTACGGCGGTACAAGCCTCTATCGACTCATTTCGGGAGGAGAACCGGGCATCTATTGCTTCTCTGCATTCAATCTGAAGTGGGTACGGCCAACGAATTACAGACATGGAAGAAGGAACGAATGAGGTTGACAAGAGACTGAGCAGCATGGAGACCTGCCAATCCTCGCTAGTTAAAGAGAAAGAGGCTTTAAGAGAGAAGGTGGCGTACTTGGAAAACTAAACCAGACGGCAGTATATATGCATTGTGGGGATACCAGAGAATACGGAGGGCCCACTACCAACGTAATTCATCGCCAAACTACTCTTTGATGTGCTTGGGGAGAACAACTTCGAGAGGCCGCCATCGGTGGATAGAGCCCACAGAAGTTTGGCTCCTAAACCAGCAGATGGTGACAACAGATCACGTCCGTTCATTGTCAGACTCCACCATTTCCAAACCAGAGAGCTGATCCTACGCCTCGCCAGACAGAAGGGCCCGCTCCTATTCAACGGATCGAGATTCCATATATTTCCTGACTACAGCCCAGAACAGCTCAACAAACAACATGCAGCCTTCTGAGAGTCCAAAAGGAAGGTCCACACTGCAAAGGTCAAGTTCGGTCTCTTCTACCCAGCCACTCTGCAGTTCACACACAACGGGAAACGCTTGAGGTTTCCCGAAACCTGCAGTGGCGCTGGCCTACATTAATAATAATATCCCTGTTGATGGCAGCTGGATCCACTCTTACTGGCTGATTCAGACTTTGTGAAGTTCATTACAGAACAAATAGATTTTTTTCTACAGGTAAATAGGACGGATGGCATCTCAGCTTCGACCCTCTGGGAGACGCTTAAAGCGTATCTCCGGGGACAATTTATCTCTCATTCTGCATATTTGAGGACGAAGAAGTATAGGAAGATTGAGGAGTTATCCTTAGAAATCAAGACCCTGGACGGACTCATATCTGGCTCTCCGACCCCTGATTTGATTAAGAGGAGAGTGGCCTTAGAAACTGAAATTAATCTATTAACTACTACCCAAGCAGAGAAGCTCATTTTGAAGTCTCGTGTTATTTCACAACTCATCTTATCAGATGGCTCATCAACTGAGGATCATCAAGCTATTAACAACTATTTTAGAGAGTTTTATGCTAAATTATATTCCTGAGATTCAGCACCAGCTCAAAATAAGTTCAACGCTTTTTTTCCCAATCTGAATATTCCTATAATTGACTCTGACTGACTGGAAAGAACAATTGGAACAAAGTCTGACGCTGGAAGAAATTAAAAATGCAATAACGTCCCTTCAGAGTGGAAAAGCCCCTGGTCCAGACGGGTTTCCAACTGATTTATATAATCAATTAATTAATTAATCCTTTGTCCCTCTTTGGGGGGAAACTCCCACTGGGTTTAAATCTGGGACTCTCCACCATTTGACCTTAGAACTGAAGAAGTATCTCGGATGAGAGGTGAAATGTCTTCAAGCAACTCAAAGAAGTCCAGATGCTTTTCTTTCCAAGCTCCTTAGACTATTCAGAATATTCTACTCTCATTGAGTAACATAACAGAATACGTTACAAAATGAAAGACCGTGGAGTCCTTGAGGTAGCTCTTCTGTGTGACGAGCCACTGAAGAAGTTACAAAACGTTCCTCCCACTGAAGAGGCTACGTCCAGATGAACAGAATCAACTTTTGGGGGTTTCTGAGATAGCATTCGCGTATTCATGAATGGTTAAAAAAATGCTTAATTGCTGATAATGACTGCACGCACCACTGGAAAACTTGGTCATCTGCCTATTATTATTGTCATTATTATGAAATACATTTCAAAAGCATATATGTAAACTATGATTAGGTAAGATCACTTTTATTGCCGATGCAGTTTGTGAGAGAAAACAAATGCAGGACAATCCTATAAATGCTGTAAGAGTTTTGGGTGTATGGTTAGCTGTTACATTTAATAAATTTAATTTAATAAATATTTGTACTTACTCTTTACCCGCAGAGTGATGGTTGCTCGTCGTGTCTGACCTCCAGCCAAACGTGCATAACATATCAGCGATCTTCCATCATCATTAGCTGATGCTGTAAATGTCAGTGTGGAGACAGTCCTCCACAGAGCCCCCCCTGATAACTTGCTAGTATCAGAGGAGGCTGGCATATTACCATAATTCCATTTCAGAGTTGGAATATTTCGATAGCATGTGTATGAAACAGTGCAGGTTACTTTATTTGGATCTCCCTCCAGAAATTCATATGATGCAGAGCTGACAGTCAGCCCTGAAATGGAGCCTGGGATACAATTAAAAATGGTTAAATATCAAAGATGTTGTAGGATAAAATGCAATTTACTTTCACTACATACATTGTGAGGTTAAGGTTCTGGATGCTGATGCAGAGCGACCACCACGGTGTTCCACATAGCACTCCACAGTTTGATATTCTTTCTCTATGAACAGACTGGTTGTCACCATAGTTTTGGATCTTCCATCAGATAGATGGCTATGAGTTAGACGTTCGTTTCGCAGGGGGATGTTGAGCCTCAGACTTGGGGGATAAGTGGGACAAGTGTGGTAAACACTGCATTGCACTGTTACAGACTGCCCAACCACCGTGTTTCCAAAGATCTCGATAACCGGTGGATCTGCTGTGCCTTAAATCATAAAATGTGAAGATTTACATAATCATATAACAACATAGTGATCAATTTATAGTGAAATCTTAAATGATTTACCTACCCACTACTTCAACTGTTACAGTTGTGTCATAGAAAGGGT